TTGACGAATATAGAAGTCGGTGAAAGAAATGCGAGCGTAGAATGCAAAATTGTTTATTTTTGCTCTGAATTTTTGTCGTAAGCGGATTCATACGTCAGGCTATAATTGAATGTAATTAAATAAGAAATAAATGACTATTAAATATAGCTGTCGCATTGCATTTAAATGGACGTTAATAATCGATTCGGGAGATATGATTTCAGATTTCGTTTGCTATTAAGATTGTTAAAACAAAAATTTATAAAATTTATAAATTTATAAAATTTATATTCTGCATGGAATATAAGTCGACGATAATAGCAAATATTATTTTTACTATTAATATCGTTGTCTTTACTTTCTTCAAAAATAATTATTGTTGTATTTATTCTATTACACAAGCATATACGAAAAGGTGATGGCATTAATTTTAGTTTGCGAGAGCTTTCAATTCTTATGTAACCGATCACGTCTTATAATCGATTTTATTAAAATGATAAAATTAACGCGACAAACAACAATATAGAAAAGCACATTATTTTGCGCTTTCAAAATAGAACAGCTATCAAAGCTCTCAGGTCTGTCATTCGCGATTACAAGGGTGCAGTGATTACCGGGCACTCCTCGATATCTCAACGAGCAAACTTCATCGGCAGCGGATCAATGAACGGTCGTTCTCGCGGAAAATTCGTCCCTCGGCGTGAGAATTAAATGTGGCGGTCGTTCCCGGTGGAAAGAGACGAACCCGACCGGTTTCAAGGCTCATATTAATTCTTAATTTCTTAATTTCAAGTCGACCGTTAAGCACAGCGCCAAAGAGGTCTGGTCTTCCATCAGTAAACCGCCGCGCCGTTTCCCTCCCTCACTTTCTTACCGCTTCATCCACCCTCGTTTCCGGCTCCTTCGGCTGCCGATGAAGGAAGAAAGAAGGGGAGGTTGAGAGCAAGGCGCAATTAAGCTCTCGCTCTCTTCGGAGATCCATTCATTTTTCAGGTAACGTCGCCGGACGGCCTCATCTAAGTTTTAAATCGCGTGCTGGCGGCGGTATCTACGATACGCGACCGGCCTTGGACGAGGGATGGAGGAAGGCAGGGCTCGCCGCCAATTTATGTATATCGGACCGAGATTTGCATTCACGCTAACTATTATACTCGACTCTTTCCCAATTCTAAACGACGACAGCGAGTTCCTGTCACGTAGATATTTGTTAACATTGGTGTGCGTAAACTAGCTTATGATAGAAGCCTTTTATTTAGTTAAACTTCCCATGTAATAACATCTACGTTCTAAGGCTGTGAAGATGTCAGATAAGCAAAAATTGGAGCGATAAAAGTCAAACTGTCAAACAATCTTCCTCGACGTGGAAATGCTAAATTGCTCTCTTGATTACATTTCACTAATAAAAAATTTATTACATTAATATTAGAATGGAAACTTATGGAAAACTTGCTTCAGTACTATTATCAAAAAGATCGCTTTCTTTTTTCAATAAACGATCATTTTAAATAGCAGATTTATTTTTGGGGAAAATATTTCCGAATATATAATTTACTGAAATTAAGACTTCAGACAGTAGATCGAAATTGCGAAAACTCATGGAATATGTAAAAAGAATTAAATTATTTGAAAAATAATTAAATTATTTAAAAAACTTATTTAAAAGAGAAATAAATATATAAGTAAAAAATACACTCAGTCATGAATACATTGTACAAGTATTAAAGCAAAATGGTAGTTTCTAAAAAGTTTCATAAGCCGAAACGTGCAATGAATATAACGCATTTCCCGGCAATGCCATTAGCTTTATCAGTTGCTTCGCGGTCTAGCTATTTCATCGACAGAAATCTCCCGCTTTCGCGCACCCTCTCTCCTCTCGTGCTTTTGCGGAGCAAAATGGAATCAGATAGGTATTGGCGAGATGGAGCATCGGAATGACCGAAGAGAGACCGGCGCACGATAGAAGTTCACAGCAGGATTCGCCTCGCACTTGTGTGTTTACGTTCCAAGCACGAACGTGCTTTACAGACCCACGGTTGCAAACTCGCGCCAACGTTGTCAACATCTGCTGGTAGCCATACCAACAAACAAAAGCTTTTATCGAATTTATGAAACACGCAAATAAGTAATTTTTCGCTTGACAGCGAGCACGTGCGTACGTTATCAAACGCGAAAGCAAAATATCAAACATGAAAGCCCGATAAAACAGCAGCGGAGTAGTCAACGTGTACTTTGCCATACGTGAGAAAACATACTCCGATCATACTTTGCAAATGGCGTGGCTCTAAATTTCCTTCACCTTTGTTGCCTCCGAAATCGTCTAAGTGTGGATACTGCACGATCGTGCACGCTCATCGTTAGGATGCACGTGGGCGTGGATATGAACTTGTGTATATCCACGTGTGTGCACCGTACGTAGGAGTCGAATTCCGAAATGGCGTCATGTACGTCCGCCTGCGCGCACGTTCACGCCCGATGGTATCTCCAATGTGGGTCACATACATAGAAGGGAGAAGTCCAGCCGCTACGAGCCGGAAACTCTGCATTCAAAGCCGAACGGAGGACTTTTGGTAGAGAACGAGGGAGAGAGAGACGGAGCAAGAAAGAGAGCAGGCAAGCGAGCGAGAAAGAGAGAGAGAGGAGGGAGGAATTAAGGGTTGGTTCGAGATAGAGATAACGGCAAGCGGTTTGATATCTCCAGTCCATTTCTAGCTCGTGCCACGAGTCGCGGACAAACGTGTCGTGCGCCCGACTTCCTTTTCTTCTCCCTCTCTTCTTTCATTCGCCGACCCTACTCCAGTACCCTCGATCCTTCGGAATCACGTCGTGTCACCTGAGAGGCCGGGCATATATTCCCCGTCGGCTGAGATCGACCAAGTTTTCCAATAAATTTCTATATCCGCCGGCTGCATCTGCAACGGACGACCCAGGATCCGCCTTATTATGCGACCATTCGGCGACGCCGAATTTCTCCCGTATCTCCGATTCTCCGCTGTCGATGATAAGCGGCCATTGGTTCTCCCTATATAGACGATCGCTCCCGCTGCAGATTTTAACGTTCCGCGCAGTATGCATGTCTGACCATGACAAGGAATCTGATTCACCATAATGGAAAGACGCTATCGCGATCTTCATGTGTGGCGTACTTGTTTTTGTTGCGTTAGAGGAATCCGAGACGAATTATGATTACGGTTCAAAATGTCCATTGTAAAATCTGTTTGCTACAGGCAATCTCTCCGAACACACCCACAAAAATGATGGCATTTGTTTTAACTGCCACATTTGTCATCCTCGTATTTTTTATTTAAATAGCATATTGTTAGAATTTATTTATACTAAAAAAATATTTCAAATTTTCTATTGTTATTTTATAAAATACGATTATATGTGTTCACTGAAAACTATAATGATGAAGAGACCGTTAGTAAAACAAGTGGCATGAATTTCTAGCGTCGAAAGTAATGCTCGTATTTAACCGAAACGGTTCAAACTGTAACGATTCTATTAATTTTACGATATGATTTTAGTTTAGAAATAAGATGACCGAAAACTTCCAAGTTAATAACTATTATTCCAGAGTGTGCTTATTAGAATCACTTATTATTACTTCCTCGTGAGAAGCCATTTAGAGCAACCGCGCCGGAATTGGAATCGAAGATCGCGCGTGTGTTCCATTTGCCGGCTCCCCTAACTCGATGAATCATCGTTATCGAGATGAATTTAAGAAACAAGAAATCCGCGTTTTAAAGATTTAAAACAATAACGCGTTTTAAAGATTTTTCAAGGTTCGATAAGAACTAGTTACTTGAAATTTTTGTGCCAAGTGTCTTAATTTCTAATCATGTGATCTGCCATTCAAAATATCCACGAGAACGTCTTAGATTCTTTTATCTTTCTAAATGGACCTTGTAATTGCTCTCAGCTTCCAAGATATTTCAAAATGTATTCACTTTAATTTTTCATGACACAAATTTTCCGATATCAAATTGTTTCACTACTATCAAAATATATAAGATATTTCGCGATATTTATTATCAAGAAACATTGATTTATGTAAAAAAGATCAAAAAAGTTTCGACGAATTATTCGATAAACTTAGAGTTAATTCCTTCTTAAATAAACTAGATACTTCTTAAACAAATTAAATACTTTAACTTTAATTTTTTTAGCTACTTCATACGACATATTTGTCGAAACAATCTTTAGTTTATGAAAGACAAAATGAAAGTTAAATATATATTTCACAACAATGTGATTAACAAAGATAGATCTTCTGTAATCTATGAACAAGTTGGGCAACCAGAGAGTGAATGAGATCATTCACACGCGAATAATGTTATATCACGCATTTTGAAACAATCCAAATAGTGATACCTCGATATCACTGTTATGAGCCATAACGATCAAAATTCATGGGAACTGTAGCGTGGCAGAATTGTCGTCCCCCGCCGTTGACGTCGTGTAAATGGAAATGAGTGCACTTGTTCGTCCAAAAATCAATAGCGTTCCGCGCGAAATGGCCAATAAAATATGCAAAAGTACTAAACAATGTAAATCCCATGAATCACAGTCGTCGACGGTGCCGCTCGATTTTGCGACACAAGAGGAAATGGTGAGGATGTGCGATACATCGATAATGTAACCAACTGAAATGATAGTCAATGATATTGCTCTCGTAGCCCGCGTGACTCCAGCAGAACGTATAGCAATATGTGTATGTGTATGTTATAATGCATAATCCTGATACACGATCAATTTTACATAGAAGATTTTATAAATTCGAAATAACATGAAATCTCATAAAGAGATCTCTTGCAAAATTTTATAATCAGATCTTAACTCTCAACGTTGCTAATTATAAATGTAACATACACTTAAAAATGCAGATTACCTGCATCTTTCGTTTTTATATCTGCGCGATAACTTCAACGTCACTACAATAAAGTCTATCAAGTTCGACAGTTTTAGTTCTGCGACGTAGGGCAGTGTAACAATAATGTAAACTTTTGGATATTTGTACTTACCGGACCGAATTGTTCGAAGTAATTTTTGACGTCCTCCAGCGTCGTCGGCGCCGATAATCCCCCGACGAATATCTTCTTTGTCCTTGTCACCATCTATAAAAAAAAACAAAGAAAAAAGAGACACATTAATTTATATCTTGAAATAACTTTTTTAAATTAAGGTAATATAACTCTTAAAAATGAATAAAAAATGAGCAGTGACACAACTAACAATGTTCCAGGAAAAGAAATAAAATTTTCGACGCGATGTGATCGTACTAGAGAGATTGATAAGAAATTCATCAAATATGAATGATTTGTGTCTGGATGTACTATGACATTTCCAGGTAGACTCCTCCACTAACGGTGTTCTTCAGCCGTTGCTTTTAGTCTTTCATATTCCATACCTGTCTGACTATCGACAGAAAAGTCGTAAATAATCGACACAGGTGCATTATTAACAGCCGAACTTACGCTTCAATATAACATATCAATACGTAAACATGGAGAATAAACACTCACGATATTCGATTCTCTATAAAATTTAGAAAATAAAAAATAGAAAAGATTTTCCCTCCTTGGTGACCACGGACTTCATAAAGAAAGAAGCAGAAAAGTGGAGAACGAAGAATGTTATCAGATCATGTTTTAAGGAACGAAACCTGAGAACGGCACGTTAAAGGTCATGGTCAAAATCGGTAGAGACTGGATGCCCGTTTATCGCAGATTCGTCTCGTGAATCGAAAAAAATGCGAAGGAATACGTGCGAACGTCGGAACAAGCAACGCAACGGCATCGTTCTCTTAAGGTTGTTCGCGGCGAATCCGAAATGCGACATCGAATTCTGCATTCGATGCGATTACAAGCCACATACGTGCTTCGACGTCTCCGATCTCCGATATTCCTCATGTCTCCTGTTAGATATTGAACGTCACTACCCACGCATCGGGAACTACATCAGCCGGCGGATATCAGTGTGGTGATAATATAACCAATGAATTAGAAATGGAGATCACGAGAAATTCGATTAGTATTTAAGGACCATCTAATCGATCGCACACACACACACACGCGCGCGCGCGCGCATACACACACAAGTATACGCACGCTCACATATATGATGATAAAGAAATAAAGTGTACTAAAAAATAAAAACTTCCAATACTAAAAATTTTCCAATGGATTTTCAAGATATAAAAATTGAAAGAAGTATTTTCTCGACTAAAACCCATGCACGACAAATATATAAAACGTCTTTATTCCTTTATTTGATAAACTATATTTGTACATTTATGTGTATGTATGCGCGTAGGTGTACATGTGAGTGTGTGTGTGTACTTATTTGTAATAAATAAAAGTTTGAAGAAAGATATATTTTTCACACTTAAATTCAAGCAAAATAAAAACAATGGCACAATAACTGAACGTATATATAATACGACCATTAATAAGTAGTCGGATAAACATTGCGGAGTAATTTAATAAAGAGAATTCATCGATTCCTCCGTGAAATCAGTTCCGATAGGGTGGATTAATATGAGAAGCTTAAGGAGAGCTGAAAGGAGAAAAGCTCAGAAAAAGACCGATACTTCTAGTCTTGAAATCTTGATAATACAATCGCATTGTAATAAAGCCGCGGGCGGACGAGCTGGAGAATGAAAGGCAGAAGTCGAACATTTTACGGGCGGAAGTTCCACGCTGAGGAAAGGAAGGCACGATCGGGGTAAGAAAGAAAGATGGGGGAGGGAGATGGAGCGCGGCGGAAAGGGCGGAAGAGGTAAACTCTGGCAATTTCAGTGATGGCTGGGCTTAGACATCTCTATATCCGGTGAGTAACGCAAACCCCTGGGAGGACGCGAGTCCTTCCACCCCGTGCGCTCCTGAACTCGATCCCCTCCCCTTCTAGTTTTCTCTAACCCTTCTTTAAATCCCATGCAAACTCGCAGCTTTCTTCGTTCTGGCGTTCTTCTCTAGAAGGAAATGCGAGAGGCAGGTTTCTCTTGCGAGGTGGGTTAATCAGCGAAGTGTATAAACTCCCGAGAATAAAAATAAAATGGCGGGATCTCTCGAAAATTAAATAAACGATTCGCCTCGATTTCGTCGGCGAGAGGCTCATCGTAAGGAGAAAATAGCAAAGAGAGAGAGGGAGAGGGAGAGAGAGAGGGAGAGAGAGAGAGAGAAGGAGCGAGAGAGAGAGACTTCAGGAATAAAGAAGGATATTATCATGAATGGACAAGGTGAGGAGAAAAGCGATGGAAGAAGGCGAACTCAAACCAAGGAGGCCACTTATTCGAATGAAACCGCTGCAGCTCCCCCTCCCTCTTCTTGAGTGCCAAAAGCGGGAATTCGGGTTTCTTCATGTTCTCCACCGACAAACGAAATCCAGTTTTGCATTCTGCTATTGCACACCCCGTAATGAGCACATTGTCATGAAAAGTCGGTAGATTTTTATCGAAATCTTCCAATGTCCTTGTTTGTTATATGGGATAAACATTTTTATCAGCAGTAAAAAAGTAAAAAAAAATAAAATAAAATAAAATACGTTAAAAAAGTGCTTTTTTACTGCTAATATTATATACGACATTAGAATAAAGACAGACAGCTTCTCTCTCAATAAATTCTCTACATAAACTTCATATAAACAAGTGTTATACTTTTTCTCAGAGAAAACACTTTTTTACATTTTTAATTTTCATACGACATTAGACAACAGATAAATATCCAGCTGTCAATTATTGTACATATTGTACATTATACATTTGGCTTATTATGGAATAAATCCGCGCGTTTAGGATAGCAGACTGCAGAGAGAATCAACTAGCGGAATAAGCGATCGAATTTTCGCGTAGCAAAAAGGCGCGATGCGAACAAAAGATGAAGTCACAGACGACGGAGTGAGCCGCTTCTCGCCGTGGTTAGCCCGACGAAGAATAAGGTGGAAAAATATAAGTCACGAGAGGAACACGGAGGAGAGCGGGGCCCCCTCGGGTCGTTAGCGGAGATAAGAGCGGATAGCGGCGGAATGGTAATGGAAACTCGGCGAGTTCCACTTATTACGCCGTAGCATTATGTAAATACCGGAAGGCTATTACAATTTTACAACTTACTAGGAGTGGCTTTATAGTTTCATCGCTCGAGGGAGGAAGGTGGGTGAGAGGGCCGCCTCATCTCTCTTTACCGACCTTTTGCTTTCCTCACTCGATACGCGACCACGTATATGTTTCTGGCTCACCTTTAAAGTTTCTACGTCTATGAAAATGAAATCGCCCCGTAGAAAGGAAGCTGGAAGCTATCTCTAGTGTGTGCTTCGCTATTTGCAGAAATTTAATATCCATCTATAATTAACGCTCTGTAGTCTAATACGAGTCTGTAATGATGTAAATTGCTGCTCCACATTAATTATAAATATCATGCAGCTGTAATCCGCTGGAATCCGCGTTTTAAGAAAAAAAGCGTGAAATTTACGGAAATAAAATAAAATACAAAAGCATATTGATCATCATTATCGCACAAAATGTGTGTGACTTTATATTTTATTGCGACAATTGGCTCGTGAAATAGGAACTTTTTTCCGCGACAAAATAATTGTGTAACGCAAATTACAAACAGAAACGCAAGGTTCGTAATAAAAAAAATGCTTAAAAGCAACGCACAGTTTTTTCACAAAAAAGAGATGGCAGAAGACAAGGACAATAGTCAGCATGTCTTTTATGGCCGTCGGACATTATCGTTCCACGTTATTGCGATGTATTCGTAAATGTCATAATCAGTTCCACGTTTTCCACCGCGTTTATCCTCGCCCTTCTTCCTCTTCCCCAAAGAACACACGAAGGGCTGCGACGACAAGAAAAATATTAGAATAAACGTTAATCAGCGGTCTCATGTTCGCGCTTTAACAATAAAATGCTTTCGCTTCCATTCGCGATCATTTTGAGAGCTTAATCGTGCGTCCCGATGAGATTCCGCGAATTTACATAACCGAGAGACGTCCGAGGTCGCGCGCAATCCGCACGTTTTTTAAGTAAACGCGTAAAGCCATCACGCGCGTTGTTAGATAGCGCCGCGAGATGCATGCCGTGTATTACTTCACGTTGCACACAGAATAACGCTATAATCGCATTAAGCATAATATTACGAAAATTTCGCTAAACGGCGCGGGCGTTAATGCCTTACGTGACGTGTGTATATATATATATATATATATATATATATATATATATATATATATATATATATATAATATATATATGTATATTTGTACATATATATGTGTACATATAACAGAGGACTCGAAAGAGAGAAATAAAATAGTGCGTGCGTCCATCGTTGCGAATAAATTATCGTTTTCCGTTGCGTCATGTATACCATCAATTTAGCGACGCAATAGCTTTTGGTAACGTGTATCCATGGTTGAATAGCCCATCTGTATTATTACATCGCAGTACAGCGGCCAATCAACTCAACTTTAAAATCAATAACCCCAACGCATTGCAAATATTACTTTGTCCACTCGGCCCTTTGGCAATCACGTAGGGAGATATGGTATCGATAATGTTATATTAATGGGAATGCATAAATATGATAGAACGAAATATGGGCTAATTTTTAACGTTATTGAACGAAAGAATCAGTTTTCTTATCTGATTGTCTTTGACGTGATCCTCCGCAAACACTTTAACTAATTTTCGGAGCATTAAACGTTCTTGCAAATAACTCTTAATTATAATTAATTGTAGTTAATATCATCATTGTACTACCAGCTTAATGTCTATTTATGCAATTTTCTCGTATGGCACACGCGTGTCAGTTTAATATATACGCTAATATCTAATTGCCCGCTAGCGTCAAAGCATTTTCAAACAGGGATGAAGGCGATCAAAATTGCCTAACGCAGAATGATTCCGCATTGTCGTGAATCGAGGTCACAGGGACGAATAGAGTGAGGATAAGGTCGGGTGAGAAGGATATGCGGCGATAGAGAAAAAAAAATGGGAAAGGGAAGGAAGAAAAAGTGACGGAGGGATCCCAGGACGAGGCTCTCGCAACCCTCGGGATGATAACCGATTCGCCCGGCCTGTCCCTCGCCCTTTCGCCCTACTTTTTCTCCAGCTAGC